CCCTAAGAAAAACCCTTTCTAATAAGACAGGAAGCCTCTGATATGTCCTCTATGCAACTGTATTCCAAATATCTACAATGATATCCCAAAAGGCCCTCCATAAATATTTCCAGAATGATTCTGGAGCATTTCAGAATGCTAATGTAGGTACTATATATCAGGCAAGAAGAGATACTGGTTAGAGAGTATACAGTATTTTGATTATTTCAAAATATCAAAATAAACTATTTTTTTTTAGCAAACTCTCATTGTTCTACTAATATTCCAGTACCTTCTGGTACTGGATTTTTTTTTTTTCTTTTTAATATTAGTTGTATCCTAGCCCCAGATTTATCCTACCCTTGTAGCATCAATACTCCATGATCCCAAAATACCTAAAATCTTCTGCTGTTTTTCCTGTGAAATTCTCCCCTATTAATTTAATAAATAAAAAAAACAGGAAATTATAAAGAATAAAATGACATATGCATCCCCTTTATATCCAATAATTACTGGCTGTTAACATTCTTATCATATTTCTTTTTTTTTTGTTTTTACAGACCAGGAAAATATTGCAGATACAGCTAAAATCCTCTTCAAGTGCAAACCAACTGCCCATTCCTTTCAGAATAAACCACTATTGTGATCCTGATATAAACCTTTAAATGTTTTACACCTATCTCTACTCACATACTCTTATGCACACCATTTACTTACTTACTTATTTAGTTATTTATTTGGGTAGTTTTGGAGAAATATACATTTATGCTCTCATACTGCATATTACCTTTGAAAATTGGTTTTTGTATTAAATACAATTTTGAGACATCCATATTAAGACCTATTGTATAGTTCCTAATAATAAATTGTCATATCATGTCAGTATGCTATGTCTTATTTGTCCACTTCCTTAGAGACAGTCATTCAGGTTGTCTCCAATCTTCTACCACTGCAATGAATACTCCAAGAACAGCCTTATACACAACTCTTCAGGCTCCTAGAGTCCTCTGGGAAGAGCACAGTTTTATCAAAAAGTGCAATTTGGGGCTTATAAGCTATGTTCACTTTCAATTTTACTGGATACTGTGAAATTTATCAATTTTCACTCACAACAGTACACTAGGAGTTTATCCATTTTCTCTATTTTCATCACTGCTGAATACTGGCATTTTTTTTCACCCAACAGTTTTAAAAGTGAAGATGAGTAGTCACAGTATATACAAATATCAAACCATTATGTTGTATACTTGAAAACTAATATGTCAATGTACACCTGAAAACTATTATGTCAACTATATCACAATAAAAAGAACTTACAATTAAAATATTTCTCAAATGCTCCCAGACATTAGTTTCACTGACTACTGAGGTGAATTTCTAAGCACTTGCTGGTAAAGCAGATACATCAGAAAGACTAGTTTAGATAGTCCTAGTTTACTGGCCTATTTTCCCTCATAGAGCCTAGATGCTTGTTCTGAGTGTCGGAGAGGTGAGAATTGTGTAGTAATTTTTATTACTTCTGTATTTCCTCTTCCACTTTAGTTTAATTCAATATTCTGTTATAGAGTAAACTTTCTAAAATTCAAAACTAATTTTTTAATGTTTATTTATTTATTTTTTAAAGAGAGAGAGAGAGAGTGCTGAGGAGGGACAGAGAGAGGGGGAAAGAGAAACCCAAACAGGCTCCGTGTTGCCAGCACAGAGCCTGATGTGGAGCTCAATGTCATGAACTGTCAGATCATGACCTGAGATGAAATCAAGAGTCAGATGTTTAACCGACTGAGCCAACCAGATGGCTATCAAGTTTCTTTATATCAGTTTCCTATAGTTCCTCTTTACCCCTCAAGATAAAGTCTCAAACACTTGGCATTACAAAAAAAAAAATCTTTTAACTGGCTTCCAATTCTTACCAATCTCTTATACTTGGCTCTACTCTGGAAACACTAAAGGTCCCTTTCCATCAAGTTAATGCGTTATTTCCCCCTCTGATTATACAGTTCAGTGTAAACTTCCCTGTCTGGCTAATTCCTGTGATGCTCAGGTCAACTGTCAATTTCTCCTTTTAACAACCTCACCTGCCTGTGAGAACTATACGCCTTTCCTCCTCCTTCCCCCACACCCACATACTCCTGTATGGCTCTAACAGATCGATTTCTAAAAATGGCATTACTATATTTCTTTGTATTCTCAAATACAGTAAATACCTCTGGAGAGGAGGATATATACTAAAAAATAAATTTTATTTTTGTAGCCCCAGTATCTAGCATAGTGCTTCATATTCTGTAACTATTTGATAAAAAGAAGAATGAAACTGAGGTATGGAAGCCATAAGTTTCTAATGATATTAAGACAGGATGAAGAAAACCCCTTAAATTTTTTTATTAGTTTATTTATTTTTTGAGAGAGAGCACGAAAACACATTCAAATGCGAGCAGGGGAGGGACAGAGAGAGAGGGAGAGAGAGAGAATCCTAATAAGCAGACTCCACACTGTCAGTGCAGAGCCAAATGTGTGGCTCAAACTCACGAACCATGAGATTGTGATCTGAGATGAAATTAAGAGTTGGACACGTAACCCCATGAGCCACCCAACTACCTACCCCAGTAAAAACCCCTTTAAAACTTGCTCCTTGGGGCACCTGGGTGACTCAGTTGGTTAAGCATTGGACTTTGGCTGAGGCGATGACCTCACAACTCGTGGGTTCGAGCAACGTGTCAGGCTCTGTGCTGACAGCTTGGAGCCTGCTTGGGATTCTCTCCCCACTGCCTGCTCCTCCCCTGCTTGCTCTAGCTCTCTCTTCCTCAAAAATAAATAGACATTTAAAAAAATGCTCTTTGAGCCAGGGATTGTACTATTCAGGTAAGTACTGATTACGTTGTATAATTATAAAATTGTGTATTTTTCTATTAGCTAGCTTCAAGTTCAGAAAAAAGGTGCAGGGCTCACTTCGGCAGCACATATACTAAAACTGGAAGAGTACAGAGAAGATTAGAACGGCCCCTGCACGCGGGTAACAGGCAAACTCATGAAGTGTTCCAAGGTAACTGAAGTTAAGTCTAACTGAGAAATGCAATGCAATACGGCATAACTATGACCTGAAAAAATATTCAGTTCTGCCATTTACTATGTGTGACAACAGGTAAATAAATCTCAATAAGCATCAATTTCTTCATCTTTAAGATGGGAATAAAATCCATCTGTCAGAATTACATTTAAGTGTCATGACAGAGAGAATACATCTAAGCATTTCACAAAATATAACTATTTTATACTTTGTAATTTATACCCTTTTAAACAAGCACATATCCCAGCTCTTTTGTACAAACCATCCCAATCCAAAGGTTAGACACCCAATGAATGCTTGCTGAATAAAGCTAAAGATGTAGAAGAAATACAGTGATAATGAAAACGAAAGCTAGCACTTACTATGCAGTTCTTATGTATCAGACACTCAGAACAAACATCTAGGCACTATGAGAGAAAACAGGCCCGTAAAATAGGACTAACTGAACTGCTCTCTAATGTACCCACTTCATAAGCAATTGAATAGAAGCCCACTTCAATAATCATCAAAACTCTACTTTGAGCCGTAGTTTCCAGTCTAGAAGTGAAGGAAGAGAACTGCTTCAAAGGGGAAGAGTAGAGGACAGAGGAATTCTGGTACATCCATTAAAAAAAAAAAATCAATACAGACAATATAGACCTCTAACAAATGACTGAGAAAATTATTTATTCAGAAAGAGAATAAATTATAAAAATTTCTCACCTGCTGCATATGTCTACTGGTTCGTTTCTGAGGCTGATAAATGAGCCAGGTATATAAGACTGGGTCAATATTGACTGCTAGTCCTTGTACGCTACAAAGAAGTACTGCACCTTAAAAAAAAAAAAGATTTTAAAGTTGTTTTAATTCATCATAAAAATAGTAAGATTTATATCACTTCAGACCAAGTAGGACAGCTAACAAAATTAACAGGTGCATACAACAATGTGGAGGAATTCAAGACTTCATCTACTGCTGGTTGCAACATAAAATGGTGCAAATACATTCAAACCACTTTGGCATTTCCTCAAGAAGCAAAATATACAATCACAATATGCTCTAACAATTTTATTCCTATATATGTACAAAGAGAACTAAAATCATATGTTCACTCAAAAATTTGTACCCAACTTTCCAAAACAGTATTCTTAACAGCCAAAACGTGGGAATGACACAAATGTCCATGAATTGTTGAATGGATATCAAATTGTCGCATAGTCATATAATGGAAAATTATTTATGCGTAACAAGGAATAAAGTACTGATTCACGCTCCACCACCTTGAAAACACGCTAGGTGAAAGAAGCCAGTCACAGAAAACCACATACTGTATGATTCCACTTACATGAAATGGCTAAAACAAGCAAATCCATAGAGAAAAAAGGTAATTAGTGGACGCTAGTGCCTGGGGGGAGGAAAGAATGGAAAATAACTGCTAATAGATACGTGGTTCTTTGGGGAGTGATTAAAATGCTCCAGAATTAGAAAATGGTAATTGTTGCACAACCTTTCAAATATACTAAAAACCACTAAATTATGTAATTTAAAATAGTGATATTTATGGAATATGAATTGTATCTCATTAAAAGTGAATCTGTCTTTCATAATAAGAAGAGGTTTTATCTTTTAGGCAAAGAGCAATTTCTATATTGGTCATGAGAACAGAATATTATCTCCCTTTTTATTTATACTACAAATGTAATTCATGATGTGAAAGGAAGGATTATTATAACCACTCAATAAATCACTGCAAATTACAGCATTAAATGTTCAGAAGCAAGGGAGAGATCTGCCTAGATGAAACACAGGCTAACATTCTGACATAAAACACAAAGCTGAAGTGGAACAAGTTGCAATTCCATCCTAGTCAAGTATTTTATTAAAATGCTGAAGTATTTTAGTCCCTCTCTGATAACAAGAAACTCAGCATAGGATTTAACTAAAGCACGATATCCCATTCTTAATTTATGTGCAGGATATATGGATCCATAAATAAATTTTTGCATTTCCACATATATTTTTTGGTAAAATATTATTAGCTCTATTGAGATATATGGAATATCAAGTAAGGGGTATTTGTCACTTTTGCTCTCAACTATACTCTAGTATCTAGAAAAGTAATTGCCACATGGTAGGGGTAAAGAGTCATAATACATGATACATGAGTTCTCAAGTTAGGTGCAACTTGTTCTATAATTTTGCAGATTATCTAAACAACACAGTATCTATTATTGCTAACTCCTATGAAAAGTGAACCACACAGACACAGAGAATCCAACGATGGAGGAGAGCAAACAAGAGAAATGTTCCCCCTTTCTAAACATTTACACAGGGGTGTCGGAGTGACTCAGTCGGTTGAGCATCTGACTTAGGCTCAGGTCATGATGTCACAGTTTGTGGGTTTGAGCCCTGTGTTGGGCTCTGTGCTGACAGCTCAGAGCCTGGATCCTGCTTCAGATTCTGTGTCTTCCTCTCCCCAGCCCCTCCCCCATTCATGCTCTGTCTCTCTCAAAAATAAATAAATGTTAAAAAAGATTAAAAGGCAAATGTTAAAAAAAAATTTAAATATAGAACTTTTACACAGAATTTTTAAATAAGAAAAATGGTCAAGTGTACTCCTACTCCACCTTTCAGTGTTCCTTCTCCCAGGAACCCAAAATCAGTGTAGATTCCAAAGCAGCATTCTGAGACCACAGCAATTCCACCCACTTCTGTGTACGAATGCATGTGCTGCGGAGCAATGATTCGCTCATACACATATAAGGAAGGAATGATGAGGAAAAACTAAATACAGGATGACTGCAAAAGGGCAGTCATGAATAGAAAACATAATTTAATATATGTATTTTTCCTTCAATAGAATGGATAAAAATTGTTTACTTAAATCTTTTAAAGAAATTAACTGTATACACTTAAATGGAGAGTTTTAAATTTTTAATTCAAGAATTCAAGGATATTTAAATTCAAGAATATATCATTCAATCTTAAAAGTTAAAAGACTTTTCTAAATTCCATATAAAGAAATGAAACTACAGTTAGATTTCAATTACTATGGACTACTTCCTATCACATAAGCCCACTATGTTTTATAATTAAAATCACATAAATATTAAAGACACCACAAATAATATATGCTTAACAATAAAGAAATGTGTTAATCACACACACACACACGCATGCACAAAAGTAATTACAAGAAGAAAGAAGAAGATGGGATCCAGGAGAAAAAAGGATCTAACACACGGATCAAGACAAAAGGAGAAAAGTGACAGGAATCTCCAAAATGACAACAGTGAAGTAGGGACAGGTACATGAAAAATGTAGTAACAATAAAACACGATATTAAATACAGGAAAAACCAATACTATAAAGAAAATGACAACTAATCGTAGTATACAACATAATTGTACCATGAATTATATTTATAGACAGAAGTATGTAACTTCTAAAAAAAAGATGCATTAATTAAACAAACATGATATAACAATATTAAGAGTATGATAAGAGCAGGACAGAGTGAAAGCCAAATACAATTTTCCAGTGTAAGGCATTAGTAAATTATGCTCTTAAGTAAACAATCAAGAAAGTTCGAGAAAAGTCATGTTATTTAAAAAATATGGAAACACCAAAATAATTATTGAGATGATCTGATGTGTCACCTCTTGAAAAGGGAACATTAATTTAAAAAAAAGGTACAGATGCCATGAGGGAGGATATAATTGGGATTCTCAAATGGGGGCTAAGAGAAAAGAGAGGTAGATGAGCCTTCAATTTTCTTGTTGAAGAATGTTCCTATAGCCATTAGCAAAAAAAAAGAATAAAATATTCTGTTTGACAAGTCTCCAATTCACTGTCATATAACTGCCACAAATTATGATCTGGGAATGGTTCCCCTTACAAAAAAATCACTACTAACTCTATGAGACAGAGTCAGAAAAATCAACAAGTAACAAATTTAGACTTTCAAGCAGTGGAGATATTAGAATATAGAAAACAAACCCCCTATGTATAAAATGTTTAGAATGTAAAAGTATGGCATCATACAGAGTATCAAAGAATGAGAAAGTATCAGGAAATAATATATTTAAGGAAAAAATGGAAATTATAAAAGCGACATATTTAATTGTTGATGTAAAAAACCCATTGGGCAGGTTCAACAGCCAATTAGACACAGTTGAAGAGAAAAATAGTGAAGTTGAAGAAGCACATGAATCATTAGAATGCATCTAAAAGAGAAAAATGAAAAGATTCTTGAAATGAGGTGAAGAGATATGAGGACTAAATAAGACTAAACATGTGTCTAATTAGATTCCAGATGGAGATACTAAAATATGGTAAGGGGCAATACTGTTAAAAAGATGATGGCTGAGAATTTTATTTCAACAATAATTGTTGAAAGACAGCTAAGCCTCAAACCTAAGAAGCCCAAGAAACCAAAATGTTTTAATTAAAACAAAATTTAATTTAAAACTACAATGAGATATCACCTCACACTTATTAGAATGACTAAAATTAACAACAGAAATAATAACAGATGTTGGCAAGGATGTGGAGAAAGAGGAACCCTCTTGCTCTATTGGTGGAAATGTAAACTGGTGCAGCCACTCTGGAAAACAGTATGGAAGTTCCTCAAAAAGTTAAAAATAGGGATGCCTGGATGGCTCAGTCAGTTAAGCGTCTGAGTTTGGCTCAGGTCACGATCTCACAGTCTGTGGGTTCGAGCCCCGCGTTGGGCTCTATGCTGACAGTTCAGAGCCTGGAGCCTGCTTCAGATTCTGCATCTCCCTCTCTCTCTGCCTCTCTCTCTCTCTCCCTCTCAGCCCCACATCAGGCTCTGTGTTGATTGCTCGGAGCCTAGAGCCTGCTTCAGATTCTGTATCTTCTCTCTCTCTGCCTCTCCCCTGCTTGCTTTCTCACTCATTCTCTCTCTCAAAATTAAACAAACATTAAAATTTTTTAAAAACTGGAAGTACCCTACAATACAGCAATTCACTAGGTATTT